TATATATATATATATATATATATATATATATATATATATATATATATATATACACACACGAGTCAGGCCCCCCAAAAAATCAGGGGTTGACTTAAATTTATTAGATATAAAAATACATTTGGAGTTTTTTATTTGCCTTCTGGGTTTTGAAACTTCAGGGTTCACATTTTCAAGCTGATCTACACAACCATGAAGTCTGGAACTTACTAATAAAAAAAACCAAAAAACAGTTAAAGCTGAGATTCTGGTGAATTCATGTGACTCCAGGGCTTTAAGAAACAAACAAACAAAAGCAAATACCATAAGAGCTGGTTTATCTGATAAAGTAACTCCCATACTAACTTTAATCCATGCAGATTTTAATTTTCTCACTTTTGACTTCTATCTTTTTGTCTTGCTTTCTCCTTTTTATGATAAGGACCAAGTAAAACTGAGCGGTCTAATTCCTTTGTCCCAGTCGAAAGAGGAAAAAATATATGCAAACAAACCAAAAAGTCTAACATTTAAAAAAACGAGGGCATGATTTTGAGTAGATAAATTCTGAACATATTAGTCTAATCTGTGTCAGTTTCTGTAATCTATGAAGAGATTTGCCACATCACACATTTGGTGAATAAATCCTTAACAGAGAAAGAAAGAATATTCAGAAACAATTCAGTGATTTCAGATTGTTGAATTAACAAAACTTTGTTCTATTCATAGGTACCCATAAGGACATGTATCAGGGGGTAGCCGTGTTAGTCTGTATCTACAAAAACAACAAGGAGTCTGGTGGCACCTTAAAGACTAACAGATTTATTTGGGCATAAGCTTTCGTGAGTAAAAACCTCACTTCTTCGGATGCATAAGGACATGGCAACATTTCAGCACCAACAGCCTTTATTCAAGACTAATGCTCTCAACAAACCTGTCTCTTTAGGGCTCCCGTATCTTATACTTCATGCATTCTACAGGAGCTGAATTCAGGAAAGCTATACTACTGTAATGAAAACTTTGAAGTCTATTCAGAGAACTGGCTGACAAATTTAATTCTAATTTATACCATGCTGACAGTGAGTATGTTCACCTTTTATTTCTCCGCCTCTTCTGATTTACTTATTTCAGCTTGCAAACATGTAAAGTATCTGAACTGTCCTACAGATAAGCAGAAGGAATGTGTTCTTTACAACCACCTTACCTAATATACTGGGGTGTGAAGCATTATGTATTTACTGAGTGCTGATGTTTGAAATCTCAGAGAGCTAAAGCTCCATCAAAGCTGAGAAATGTATCCAGTTCAATGTGCATTACACAGTGGCTGCTGCAATCTTTCTTAAGCTATCAGCAGTCAGCACATATACAAATCTCACAAAAATAAGACTTTAAGCCTGTACTGATATCCTAACTAAAGGAAGAACAGTTTCAAGTCAATGAAGCTCTTTGGTAGGTGGGGAAACAACGTTTGTTTATTGCACAACTGATGTTCAAAGGCAATCCAAACATTAAAAGTGTATCATAAGAATCCATTTCCAATAATAATTAGAGACAGGCTATTTCAGAGAGAAGGAAGAGGGAATTTGGGTGTTACATTAGGACAAGTGCAAAATTATTTTCCTAATGTAGAACACTTCTAAAGAGAAACCCTGGTCGGTTTCTGATAAAAATGAATGTGGCATGGCATAACATGGCATACCAGCACATGTCAATAAGTGCACAGACAAGGTCTATCCTGTTCCCAAAGTCAATGGCAAAGCTCCCATCAGCTCCAGTTGGCACAGTATAGGATCCTCAGATAGGTCCATGCAGATTACTTAGCCTCCCATTTCTCCTTAAAGGGCCCAATCCTGCAAGGTGTTGGCATCCTCAGCTCCCCACTGACTTCTGAGGTATGGAGCACCTGGCAGAATCAGGCTCAAATTACATGTCTTCTAAAAGGATTTAAAGGAATAGGTTCCTCCACTATGCCCCACTCTACCATGAAAAGAGGGATGGGGGAAGAGAGTGGCAATAACAGGTAAGTCCCTGGCCATGTGACTTCGTTCCTGAGGTCATAATGAGACAAAGAACATTGCTTAGGCACGGAGTCCTCACACCAACAATCCCTGACTCTGGTGACCTCTCCTTGCCATTTGTCTCCCTTCCCACTAAGTGGATCTATAGGGATCCACAGTTGGTTTAGAGAGTAAATCCCCTGGCTTCTTCTACTGGGGGGTCAAATCTCACTCCCTGATGGAGGAAATTATGAGGAAAAACTGCAAGTTTCAGTCTGCTGCATTTCCACTCCCTTATCTCTGCACAAGCCATGCAGGGGGAAAAAATGTAGCTTTAACGTCAAAGACAGCCAGACTAATATATTTCCAGTTTAGGTAAGAAGGAAGACTGGACCTCCAGAAAAGAAAACAGCTGAGAAACCTTAAAGTTGCCTGTTTCAATGGATTGTGTGAAACATGAGCATTAATTCTGGATACTTTTGGGGAATGGAATCCAATTAGAACAACAACAACAAATACTAAGCACAAAATGAAAAGCAGTTACACTAGTGTAGGGCGATGTATGTAGATTTATGACATATTCCCTGCATGATCTACAGGGGCCAATGGGCCAACGGCAATAGTATTAAAATGTAAGAAGAATTGGCATTGTGGATAAACACTACGGGCAGGTCTACACCTAAAACGGTGCAGTGGCAGAGCTGCACCGGTGCAACTGTAGCACTTCAGTGAAGATGCTACTACGCCAAGAGGAGACACTCTCCCATCAGCGCAGTTAATCCACCTCCACAAAAGAGGCAGCAGCTATGCTGACAGGAGAAGCTCTGTCATTGACACAGCGCTTTCTATGTGTGTGTGTGTGTGTGTGTGTGTGTGTAGGTCAGGATAACTGATCTTTCACACCCCTGAGTGATGTAGTTATACTAATGTAAGTTTGTAGAGTAGACCTGGCCTATGATGCTAACTGATAACAACAACAGTCTAGAGCAGGAGTGGGCAAACCTTTTGGCCAGAGGGCCACATTGGGGTTGCAAAACTGTATGGAGGGCCGGATAGGGAAGGCTGTGTCCCCTCCCTGCGCCCTCCCACTTCCCGCCCCCAACTGCCTCCCCCAGAACCTCCAACCCATCCAACCCCCCCGATCCTTGTCCCCTGACTAGCCCCTTCTGGGACCCCCCGCCCCTAACCTCCCCCCCAGATCCCATCCCCTATCCCCCCTACTCCCTCTCCCCTGATGGCCCCCCTGACCCCTATCTACACCACTGCTCCCTGACAGACCCCCGGGGACTCCCACGCCTATCCAACCCCCCCATTCCCCATCCCCATACCCCTATCCACACCCATGCCAGGCCCTCTGGGACCCCACGCCTATCTAACCCCCCCTGTTCCCCCATCCCCCTGACCGACCGCCCCCCCCCCACGAACCCTCCGCCCCATCCAACCACCCCCTACTCCCTGTCTCCTGACTGCCCCCTGGGACCCTCCGCCCCTTATCCAACCCCCCAGCCCCGCTTAGAGCAACATGTCTGACAGGGATTGGGGACAGCAGAGGAGGGGGCCTGGGTCTAACCTCCCCAGCTGGGAGCTTAAGGGCCGGGGAGGATGGTCCTGCGGGCCAGATGTGGCCCACGGGCCGTAGTTTGCTCACCTCTGGTCTAGAGACCAGGACATTAGAGACTTGGAAATGGCAGAAGAAATGCAGTTTTTCACTTTCTGAGGCTTTATGTCTCAAATGTAGGTAACAAATTATTCAGTGAGTGGAGTGCCCCTAAGGAATCCCAAACAAATCACTGGTGGAGGAGAATGGTTCAAAGCTAGACACTTGCTATTCTGCAGCCGTAATTTTCTGGGATGGTCTGTTTGAACATTGTGTGACCCCAGGATATAGTTATTTGAAGGCAAACTTTTAAGTGCAACATAAATTAGCTTACATTATAAGATGTGCTGCCACACAAGAAGATTTTACCAGGGGATTTTAATCAAGCTGTAAGAAAGTTGAGAAAATAAACCTAAGTATTACTAAAAATCTGTGTCAACTTGGACTGACTAAGCTGTGGTGTCTAGAATCATCACACGGGAATGGAAAAGGCATCAAATCCAGCAGGCTGTATATTAGCATCAACCCATACCTCGTAATCAGAAAAGCTGCTGAGTAAATCTGTGTGTTTTTATTACACACATCACCATGGCATGTAGACACCTAATATAAGCAAGAATAGCATCAATTCTGCCTCACAGGACCATGTTCTCCCTCCCACCTTTCAAAACAAGTAAGTGCATAGCACACATCTGGGCACTTTGTAAATAACAATTGTTCATACATATTTACAGGATGCTGTCAGTATCCAAAGCCTTTGCAGAACTGGTTTGTTCCCCAGTAGTAAGAGCACGGGACTGGGAGTCAGCGTGCCTGGTTCTATTCTGGTTCTGTCACTCACTTGCTGTGAGTCCTTGGCAAAGTCACATCCCCTTTGTCTCTCAGTTTTCCCATCTGCAAAATGGAGATGCTTATTACCTAGAGTGCCATAGAATGGCTTGAACCTAGTACTTACAAAGTGCTGCAAGAAACTCAAATTAAAAGAGCTGCAGAGAGGCAAAGTATTATTGGATACATTAAAAGAAAAAGATAATTACCTTTTTTGAGATGGGTGACCCTGAATGGTACATAGCCAGGACAACTGATGCATCTATTCTGCAGATGGGTCATGTAGGTTTTAAATAGACAGCGGGTATTTGGCTATCTTTAGTCTTTGCAAATATTTAAAAACAAATAGGGCATGCTTAGATACAGGAAAAATCCTTTTCATCAGCTGCTGTTGTTGCGAATAGCTCAGTCAATATGTTTGTAAGCACTTCTGATCCTGTTTGCCGATTCCTGTAACGCTGAAGAATCAAAGATTTTTTTAAAATGTAATTGCAACTGGTTGACATATGCCTGCCAGAAAGGCAGTTACTGATTGCTGTAGTTCTCACTCCACCACAGTTAAAAAGATGAACTAAGATTACTTGTCAAAATGAATGAAGGAGAAGCCCAAGCAAATACCCCTCAGCCATTCATTCTGGGCCACACATTAAATGTCTGAAATTTGACGAGATAAGATACTTTTGGAAGCTGATAGATACCAAGCAAAGATAAAGGCCCAGTCAGCCAATGAACTCCTGAAGCCAAGGTGGACATAAAGGTAAGCAGCTTAAAAGTTCCCAAAAGCCCAACAAAAAAGGGGTTCACTCATCAACTGCTGATCTTTAGATTTGCTTCTGACAGATACCAATGCAACCTTCAGGCATCCAGTATAAGAAACAGGAAGGAGCAATGCCAGACCAGTACCCCACTTGCTTCAAGTGAGGTTGTGGCTAAAATGAGGGCTGACTAAAAGTGCAGTCTTCTTTCTCGGCAGACTTACTCCCGCTGTACAATCAAGGTCATATCTACTGACTTCACTGGCCAAAATAAGGTTTTACTACTCTTTGCCCTGTGTAGCCTTGCAAAGCCTGTATAGGGATGAGAGAGGAGGCAGCAATCTGTTCCTACCCACCCATCATCCATCTAAGTGTTAGCTAAGTTCCAGTTGCAGAATGTTTGCTTCTGGGGATGATGCACAAACCAGAAAAAAGAAAACTCAGCAGCTTGATTTCCAGATTCTGGAGTGAATTTGGGATGTTGGCATTTAGAACACACACACACAAAAAAGAAGTTCTTACTTGTGAATTGATCTAACAAGGAGTCACTGAGGGCAAAATTCAACCCCATGCAGAGAATAATACAACCCTTGCACTACTTAAATCTTACTTAAGTGCTCAAAACATGGCGTACAAGGTGCACAGGCCTTGTGCTACCTCACTGTAAAGGGGTGAACCTTACTTCATGATTCAAATATGGAATCCCATGATATAGCAGTGTTACACAGAAACCCTTCAGAATGCTATACTGACGGGGTGGCATCTTATACCCTGTTGCGGTGGCATCAATGACTGCACAAGGTACAAGACAATGGAGAGATTCAGACCCTTAAATCTCCTCAATTACCCTAAGGCATGTTGGGCACAGAGGAGCCTTACATTGTACAATTCCTGAGCAATAA